ACATTCTTTATACATTGGAGTTTGATCTTTTAGTTGACTTACATTAGTATTCTATTGGGGATTGTTGTTAGTGCGATCACCCGTATTTCATTCACCGGAGCTCGAACACTTTTGTCTCTCACCGTAAAGCATCTCTCGTGATCATGATTCGTTCCAGTCAAAAAGAGCCAAAATTTGCTTGAGTTGGCGTGAATGGTCTTGATGTCTATAGTCCACGTAAACGTCACATTTTTTGAGGTCAATAAAAATTAAATGATTTTAGCGAATAATAGGTTGATGTCATTTTTACAAATTTAGTGATAAAAATTCGACCACATCAAAGTTCAAAAAGTAATTGGAGACATTTTTCAAAGTATAGTTAACAATGAGAAATGAAATATGCTTTCTTTCTTTGACAATTTGGTAACAGCGTAATGGGACGTTACTTGTACTTTATGTTAGCTAAGCCACCAATTTCGTTAGAGGTTTGAAAAGAAATGAAAAAAAAATTATGGACTGACTGACCGACTTAACAGTCGGCCCAAAGAACAGTTGCTCTCTTTGGGCCGACTGAAAAGTCGCCTATGTCGTTTGAGCTGACAGGTAATGGCCACTTTCGACAAGTTAAACTCCAGAAATCATGGTATATGTACCTAAATCTCTACTACACCCAATGATCTACCTAAATAAAGAAGAATAAATATTATACATAACAATAAGTGAAAAATCAATCTCACAATTCCAAAATAAACTAACATTGTTGAAGATAATGGCTAGTGTGTGGTGGTCGATGTTAGATTTGACTGTTAGGGTACTTCTTCGACTGGATTTCGACTGTGGACTGTATGAGTAATTTTCAAATTTTTTTCCTTCTCTCTCAGACTGTTAGACTGTTGGCAGAAGATAAAGAAGTATATTTTTGGATTTGGGTATTTAACTTACCCTATTATACAATTATTTTTTTTTGTGGTCAAGGCTAGTATGGAAATATGGCTGAATAAATGAGCCAATTACTTGTATTTCCTCGGCAATTTGGCAATTTGGCCACAGTACTATAAATAGAACCACTTTGTAACTGAAAAGGGGTTGAAATTTTAGACTTCGGGGTTTTGAACTCTTGATAAAGCAAGTAATCTTGTAAACTCTTAATATACAGTATTCACATTCTTTATACATTGGAGTTTGATCTTTTAGTTGATTTAAATTAGTATTCGATTGGTGATTGTTGTTAGTGCAATCACCCTTATTTCACTCACCGGAGCTCGATCACTTTTGTCTCACATCGTAAAGTATCTATCATGTTCATGATCGTTCCATTTCTCACCAGTTTTCCAATTAAAATGCACCGAAATTTGCTTGAGTTGTCGTGAATGGTCCTGATGTCTATTGTCCACGTAAACTAACGTTTTTCGAGGTCAATAAAAATTAAATTATTTTAGCGAATAATAGGTCAATGTCATTTTTACAAATTTAGTGATAAAAATTCGACCACATAAAAGTTCAAAAAGTAATCGGAGACATTTTTCAAAGTATAGTAAACAATCGAAGACGTTTTCCAAAATTTAATGAGAAATGAAATACGATTTCTTACTTGACAATTTGGTAACAGCGTAACGGGACGTTACTTGTACTTTCGGTTAGCTATGCCACCAATTTCGTTAGAGGTTTGAAACGAATGTTATGTTAATAAATAGCATCCAATAGTTAGATAAATTTAATGTTCAAAACTCAATATATTAAATTTCAGTGAGCAATAAGAATAAAGATATAAGTTAAGTGATTATTGGGATAATAAACTCCCCGTCCCTTTGAATAAACCCGAAGGCTCCAGGGACAATATTTTAGGTGAGAATTTTCAAACTAGCCGGGTCAAATGACCCATTTGGGTTTTTAAAATAAAAGTCCATTTTGCCCTTAATGAAATGGGTTTTTATTGCAAGTTATATCCTTAAACTTTATAATAGTTTTAGAAACTAGTTTTATTTTATTCGTCCTCACTAGATGTTTCTTCTAATGATTTTTCTTCAAAAATTTCTTCATTAATTTCTATATCTTCAATATTAACTTCTTCACATTCATCTCTAATTTGTTCAAAATCTGTAATTAATATCCTAACTTTCTTTTTTGGACATTCAGTACTTATATGTCCTTCTTCATTACAATTCCAACATTTACATCGTTTTTTATCT